CTCTTTAATAACGGGGGCCCATCTCATTGCGGGAATCTGCGCTCCTTTTGCCGCATTCTTACCCTAGACGCCAGCACTCTCAGGGTGCTGTCCCCACGGCAGGGTCAGAGCACCCTCCAGCTCCTGCGTCGTACCCCTATTTGCAGCTTCCTGCAGCCCCGCTTTGCGTTCGTTCGTACTGACCGCCTCGTCAATTTATTTGGTTAAGTTGGCAGCGGAAACGGCCCGCAATTCTTCGTCGGCTGGTCGCCTATCATACTGCATCTGGGAGATGCCCACACACCCTCGCACGTCATCTGAAATGGCGTAAGAAATAGCGGAAAAAAGTAGCTGCCGCCCTGAGTCTCCCCAAAGAGGAGACTTGTTGGGTGTGGCCCGCAGGTTGTCCTCCGAAGCGGCGCATGGCACTTTCACTGTCGCCGCTTGGCGTGGGTCGGCGTGAGCAGCGCCGTTGTAGCCGGGGTGTGGGTTCTTCAAGGGAACGGCAGTCGTGACGTTTGCTTCGGTGGCATCGTGCCCGTTGCTCCCCCTCCAGAAGCGCCAGGCTTCTCGCCGGCCGCAGTGGCAACTTCGCCGCGCGTGTCGTGCTCGTTTGCAGCGTGGTTCAACATGCCGTCCGCATTATGGCTCATCTCTGAGAGCCCGCCAAGGGCACTCCTCGCCGCCAATGCCTTGCCTGCGTTGGCCATGAAAGAGAGAGAGAGATAGAGAGAGAGAGAGAGGAACAACACAATAACGGCGCAGTGCGCCTCCCCACTGACGGGTGCGTGCCCACAATGCCCGCATTCCACACAACCCCCCCCCCCCCCCCTCTCCAAGAAAAAAAAAAAAACACGGAGGCGTGGGCAGGCGAACGCGCCGTACAGCCTCACAGCGTGTCAGGGTCGCTTTTTATGTACAGACACACCCAGACGCCAACCAGTTTTTTCTTCACCGTGCTTTTTTTTTTTTCATTTTTGCCCCTACAGCTCCTACGCTCGTCTTTCATTTACCATGTATTGAAACAAGCAAAAAACAATAAAAACATAACGTAGTTCCAACATTACTTGTTCACTTTCATAAAGGCGCTTTAATTGCACTCCCCCCTCCCCCCAATCTCCGGAGGTAGTTGAGCCGTCCAATGCGGACTGAAACACTCCGTCACATGCGTGCAGTGCATCGCGAGGGGTGAAAAGGAGCGTTGACACTCGGCACGCAGCCTACATCACATCACCGCACACAAGCTGCTACATTTGATCTTTTCCTTGTCCTCCTTCATGGCTGCAGCCGCAGCTGCCTCTCCTGTACCGATGACGCTTGCCATCAGTGAGCCCGCTGATACGGCCTTGAAGGGGATGCCCTCGGCATTGAGGTATGCCTCTGTTGCGGCTTTTAGGGCCTGCTTGCCAGGTGCGGAGTGGTGACCGGCACCGGGGATCAGTTGCAACTCCGTTACGGTTCCGTTTGGTTTTGCCTTGAGTCGCTCGACGCAAGACTGCAGCATCGTCATGGCCTCTTCCTTTCGCAGGCCGTGCATGTCAAAGTAGTCGTCACCTTTGCCCTTGGCCTCGTTGTTGTGCTCCGCAATTGCAGCAGCCGCCGCCTTGTTTTTCTCATCCATTCGTCTGCCGGCTTCCTTCGCCTCCTCTACGAGTTTATTTGCGGCATCCACGTAACCCGCATTGCGCTTCGCCGTCGCCTTATCTAAGAGCTCGGCGCGCTTCGCAGCCAACGCATCCGCCTTCTTGCGGAGTCGTGCGCCAACGGCCCCCTCGTAGTCAGGGTGTTCCTGGTCGGCGATGATCATCTGCACCTCTTCAACCGCCGCCACCACCTTTTCCTCGCTGTCGCCCGTGATGCGGACCCTTGGGCCTTCGATAATTTCGAACTTTGCGCCGGTTCTATCCTGCAGTCCCTTGATCGTCATCCCACCCCTGCCAATGAGGTGGCCCACCTGCACCTGTGTGATGTCGAATATCTTTTCCATTGCAGGCTACAGTTGCATGTGCCCTTTTGCTTGCATGTGGATGCGCAAAAAAAACGTCGGCGGCAGCCGGAGAAGAAAACCGGGGAGTAAATCACACAGTGAAGAAACAGGAGACGCACGACAACAGAAGAAAGAGGACCCCCTCCAACCCCCACCACCACCACCACCATCCCCATCCCTCTCTCTCCTCTTGTTTTACTTTTTGTGGCCAACGATCCACACACAACACGACTCGCTGGGGCACTCGCTGTGGCAACGTGTCGCCGCGAAACATGCGTCACTGATGTTTTTTTTTATTTTATTTTGTACCCCCCTCCCTCCCCCTACTGCAGCGGTGCGTGCGTGTGAGCATCGACTCCGTCCCTCTACCGCGTTAAACGGATCCATTTGCGCGTTTAAGCTCGTCCTGCGACGGGGGACGATGGGCCCGGCGAGGTCCCTTCCGAGCATCGCCTGCCCGGGGCGGAGCAGCAAAGCAAGTTATGATAAAAAGGCAAAAAAAAAGAGGGGGATACATGTCGTGGAGCTGCATGGGGCGGGTTGTGTAGGAACTTCGAGGATCCCCAAGACTGCGGACGCCACACACGACGGCGCAGCATTTCTGTGGGTTCTTCGTCCTCTGTTGCCACGTGAAGCGACGGTCCTTCTCCAGCCGCGTCGACGCCTCGCCGTCCAGCATGGCGGCACTGGTTATTTTCTGCGCCATCAACGCCTTGTCGCAAATGGCGGCGGCCTCCAGCAAGGCGCTGGAGATCTCCTCCCGCAGCTTCTTCGTGTAGTCGCCAAGAGCACCCCAACCCCCCGTCCCGCGCGCTCCGTCAGGGCGTCCTCTCGGACCCTCCGCAGGAGTGCGACCTCATCCTGCCGCTCCCGCGCCATGTCGATCATCCGCATCACAAGCGCTGCAGAGACTTTGTTTGCCTCCGCCACCAGCACACTGCCGGCGCTTTTCTCGCCGACTTCGCTGCCTCCTTGCGGGTCCGCAGCGCCCGCCCCCATTTCCGTTCGGTGCTGCTCTCGTCTTTTTCCCCGCTGGTGTTGAGTGTTATCGCCTCCGCCTCC